CCAAGGAGAGGTCACAAAGGACAGGCCACTTACAAGGCAAACTGTTTTACAAAGTAGTTGTACCATTTTACGCTCCCATCAGCAACATATGAAAGTTCCATTTGCTCTGCATCCTCACCAGATATTGGTATCATAGTTGGGGAGTCCCTAGTTTTGTGTTAGGAGCTACTTATCATAAACAGATAATAGAGTTTAACAAATGCTTTATCTGAATCCACTCAGATAGTCTTATGGTTTGTCTATTTTTCTCAGTGAATTACATTGATTTTGGAATAATATCAAAACATTTTATACATATATGCTCTATTTAATCAGAAAAGCTTATTTACTTATTATTATACAAATTATGATCAAATCTTAAATTACTCTTAATAACAGATAAGAAGTTGCATGGATAAATGAAGTCTAATGATATTCTAAAAACTACCATGTAGCCAGAATTCTATGATCACTTTAGTTATGTTTCCTAACAAATCTTTCTCCACCAAATACAAAAGATCAGAGAAATGGTGACCAAATCACAGTCCTAGAGCCATATGTACAACTGTAATATTTAACATATGGATTCTGAGGCATCCAAAAGGAAAAAGAACTTCTATTACAAATAATATTGATGTTATAATCACATTAACATTATATACCTTTAGAAACCCACAAAGAAATTAGAGTATTGAAATAAGTTATAGTTCCCATGCAACATAAATGGATAAATAATGAAAACAGCCCTGGCCAGTTTGGCTCAGCGGTTAGAGTGTCAGCCTGTGGTCCAGAGAGACCCGGGTTCAGTTTCCGCTAAGGGCATGTACCTCAGTTGCAGTTTGTCCCGGCCCTGGTTGGGTCGTGCGGGTGGCAACCATTCAATGTGTCCCTTTCACGTCAATGTTTCTTTCTCTCTCTCTTCCTCTCTCTCCCTCCCACTCTATCTGAACAACAACAATAAAATGTCCTCGGGTGAGGATAAAAAAAAAATTAATAATGAAAACATCTGATTGTCTTATATATTATAAATTTCTGAAATGCTACCATTAAAGGAAATCTTTACACCCTTTTGAGAAGGATGACATTAATGAATTCTGGCCTGAAGTTAACTGCATGTTAGTTTATCTTTTCACTTTACCAGTCCTCTGGTGGTTGTGTTTTTTTCACAATTAAATTACAAACCTATGATCAGAGGGATGGTGATGAGGAGCCCCTCAAGGGCTAGATAATCTTTTGCAATGAAGTTGTGATAATGTTAGCAAATGCATTTCAATCCCTGACTCAATTGTATAATCTAGGTTAAGAATGACCTAGGGTGGCTCTAAACATATGGCAGTTTCCCACAAAGTATCTCCCTGAAGTTGCCTTAGTCCCCTGTGTTACCTCCCTTGTTCACGCACCCAGCTACATTTAGTATTTTGGCAAAAGTATTTAGTATTTGGTAATGTTCCATCAAGCCCTGGCAACAGGCCAGACAGCAATGTAGATGCCACAAACAGTCAAGCACAAAGACAATACTAGACTCGATATATTGGGTTCTGTTGCAAAAATTACCAATAACTCATTTTCTGAGTCACCATGCATATTCCTTACCTATTTGGTTTATTGGATTTTGTTTATACCTTATTACCTTAAAAGTACTGTTAGCATTAGTGCATTTTAAGTAGCAGCACCATGTGGCAATAACATAAAACTCCATTTAACTAAGACAAGCTCCCTAAAGATTGGTCACCTATCAAACAGTTATCTATAAGATGCAAAAAAATTTTAAATAGCAAATAACATAAAATTTAAAAGTAATTCTAAGCATATTATAGCAAAGTCCACAGTATCCTTCAACCTCAACCACCATAATCATGTTACTTCTTTCCTTTAATTACTACAATACATATCACGATGAAAGCCAGGGACAAGCAACAAACAGATCAGTTGGATAATATTTCTTTTCTTTTGGTCAATTACAGTTATTGTTGTCAGTTGTTATTTTTTTTTTTTTCATCCTCACCCAAATATATTTTTTTTTATTAATTTGAGAGAGAGAGAAGGTGGGGGAGGGTGGGAGGGGTGGGGGAAGAGAGAGAGAGAGAGAAATATTGATGTAAGAGAGAACTATCAATCGGTTGCTTCCCATACACGCCCCAACCAGGGATTGAACCCAAACCTAGGTATGTGCCCTCATCGGGAATCAAACCCACAACCTTTATTGGTATACAGACTATGCTCCAACCGACTGAGCCACCATTCAGCCAGGCAACATTCAGTATTATTTTATATTAGTGTCAGGTGTACAGCATGGTGGTTAGACATTTATATAATTTACAAAGTGATTCCCTCCCCCATAAGTCTAGTACCCATCTGGCACCATACACAGTTATTACAATATTACTTACTACATTTCCTATGCTGTGCTTTATATCCATGTCACTATCTTCTAACTATCAACTTGTACTTCTCAATTGCTTCACCTTTTTCACCCAACCCCCCAAACCCCCTCCTACTTGGCAACCCTCAATCTGTTCTATGAGTCTGTTTCAGTGCAATATTTCTTTAAAGCTGGCATTTAACACAAAAATATTGCTAGTTTTATAGAAATAAAAATACACTGAATCTGAACCGGTTGTTCTGTTTGTTCTATGTATTTATTTATTTTTATCCTCACCTGAGGACATTTCTCCATTTTTTGTTCAGATAGAGTGGGAGGGAGAGGGAGGGAGAGAGAGGGAGAGAGAGGAAGAGAGAGAGAGAGAGAGAGAGAGAGAGAGAGAGAGAGAGAGAGAAACATTGACGCGAAAGGGACACATCGAGTGGCTGCCACCCGCACGACCAACCAGGGCCGAGGACAAACCGCAATGGAGGCACACGCCCTTAGCGGGAACCAAACCCTGGTCTCTCTGGACCACAGGCCGACGCTGTAACCGCTGAGCCAAACCGGCCAGGGCTGTTCTATGTATTTAAAACAACAAATACACTGTCCAGTGAACTTTGACTTCTATTTCCTCATGACTGTAAGTAGGTTATAAACAAAACAAAACTGCTCTATATCTCCAGGGCAAAGTACAAGCTCTACCACTCCATGACATACCCACTGAAGGACTTGTATATAGCAGCAATTAAAGATTTAACCTTTCAGTCTAGGATTTGAAGGTGATACCAGCAGAAAAATCAATAAGCTTAAAAGTTAGAAAACCAAAGGTCCATCAGAGCTTTGGTGGAGTGCTTCTTAGTAGCCATACAAAGGTTTCTCAGTCTAGTGATGAGATACTACTAAAGTTCCAAAGAAATTTTAGATGCTAGGGGTCAGTTGGTAAAAAGTAATACTCTCAAAACTCAGAATTTTTGAACTGGAAGATACCTCGGTTATCGTCTTGTCCACCCCTTTGGTTTTATAGGTAATGAGGAGGAAAGAGAGGAAGAGGAAAATGAATCTGAAGGCCACAAATTCTCTTTGGAGCACAAAGCCCTCAACTAAGCAAGCTGAACTGGTAATGACAAGATGGGAGAGGCTACTCTGCGGTTAGTGTATCCACTCCATTTTTTATCCCTGCACTACATCACACCTGATCTGTGACTAGTTCTTAGTTGGTATTCATATTTAAAAGGAAAATTGCCTCTTACAACTCAACAACAAAAACTCAACCGGATTACAAAATGGTCAAAGGGCTTAAATAGACATTTCTCCAAAGATGATAACACAAATGGCCAACAAGTATATGAAAAGACGTTCATCATCACTAATCATCAGAGAAATGCAAATCAAAATTATAATGAGGTAGCACCTCACACCTGTTATAATGGCCATTATTAAAAACAAACAGCCCTGGCCAGTTTGGCTCAGCGGTTAGAGCGTAGGCCTGCGATCCAGAGAGACTCGGGTTCAGTTCCCGCTAAGAGCGCGTACCTCGGTTACAGTTTGTCCTCGGCCCTGGTTGGTCATGCGGGTGGCAGCCACTCGATGTGTCCCTTTCACATTGATGTTTCTCTCTCTCTCTCTCTCTCTCTCTTCCTCCCACTCTACCTGAACAAAAAATGGAAAATGTCCTCGGGTGAGGATAAAACAAAACAAAACAAACAGTGGCTAGGTGGGTCAGTTGGCTGGAGCATCATCCCATACACCAAAAGGCTGCGGGTTCAGTTCCCAGTCAGGGCACATACCTAGGTTGCAGATTCAATCCCCGGTTGGGGCATGTACAGGAGGCAACCAATCAATGTTTCTCTCTCACATAGATGTTTGTTTCTCTCTCTCTCTCTCCTCCTCCCTTCTTCTCTCTGTAAAATCAATAAAAACAAATCCTTGGGTGAGGATTTAAAAACAAGCAAATAAACCTAGAAAGTAACAAATGTTGGCAAGGATGTGGAGAAATTATAACCTTTGTGCATTGTTGGTGGGAATGTAAAAGTTGCAACCACTATGCAAAATAGTATGGTGGTTCCTCAAACATTAAAAATAGAACTACCATATGATCCAGGTATCCTACTTCTGGGTGTATACCCAAAAGAATTGAAAGCAGAGTCTCCAAGAGATATCTGTATACCCATGTTCATAGAAGCATTATTCACAACAGCCAAACGCAACCCAAATGTCCATTGACAAATGAATAAACAGAATGTGATTTTACATACAATGATAACACAATATTATTCAGCTTAAAAAGGAAAAAATTCCTGTCACATTGACCTAACATGGATGAACCTTGAGGACATTATACTAAGTGAAATGGATCACAAAAAGACACATGATCCCACTTATAGAAGGTATCTAGAATAATCAAATTCATAGAAACAGAATGCAGAATGGTGATTAATGGGCTTGAGGGAGGGAGAAAAGGGGATTTGCTGTTTAACCCATAGAGAGCTTCAGATTTGCAAGATGAAAAAGTTCAAAAAATCTGTACCACAAAAATATGAATACAGTTAACACTACTGAATTGTACACATAAAAATGATTAAAATAGTAAATTTTATGTTATTTGTTTTTACCACAATAAAAATAAACACACACACAACAGCAATAGGTCTCTTACTTTTTCTCGCTGTGTCCCTCCCACCTTTTCATACTCTATAAACGGCCACGATCTGCTCCAGGACACCGTCTTCCTTCTCCCAAACTACCCTACAGAAGCAGCCAGCTAGCACACTGCTCTTAGAGTAAGCAACACAGGTCTGCAATCACAGGAGGGAAGGTGAAATGGCCAGGTCAGGACTTTATCCCTCAGCCTAGGAGAGTGGAGACTAGTATGCTGGACCCCTAGTTGAAGAACCCTGAAGGTAAAATATCAGGGGTCTTTTATGGTAATTTGTTTAAACCATGAAAGAGATACTGGCAACAATAAACTCCTGATGACAAAGGTGGCATGCTTTACTTCTCTGCATCCCTTCTAATACCTTCCTCTTAGAAGTCACTCAGTAAATACTTTCGCATGCTGATTACAATGACATGCTGATGACCAATGGCAAAAAAATGAATCTTTGATCCAGAAAAAAGCTTACTAAACACAGAAGCCAAAGTGCTCATTTTAATGACTGAATTAAGGTCATTTCTATAATAAAAATCTCTACTGATTTCACAATAACTTCTATTTGAAACTTGTATAAAACTACTTTTTCCTGGCAAATGGATAACAAACTGCCTAACACTTGGTACTTGGAAATCCCCCCCCTCCCCAAATACTGTATCTTTTTAACCAACATCACATTAATCACATTCTATAATGAGATAACCACTGGCAGCATCTAAGATCCTGCCACACAGGTCATTCATTTGCCAGAAAAAAAACACTTGAGTCTGTCTTTCAGTTGGGACTATAGACAAAAGAAGGGGTTTTCCACTGTACATAATTTTTATTGTTGGCTATGAAACCAAAAGCTATAAAATCAAGCTCCCTGAATATTTACATTAACAAGGCTCTTAGTCATTCACATAATGAAAAATGAAAACAATTGTTTTAGTTACATACATAAAAGGGTTTCAGAAGAAGAGACATTTCTAACTGATATTTGGATATTCTTTGGTAATGAAATTAGACACAACCCCTAGACTGTTCAAAGCAGCTATTAAATGTACATACATGCATTTTATTCTTAAAAATACACCCCAAATTACAGATATCTTTTGGCTCCATAAGTGCCATAATTAATAATGTTTATCTCCAGGATCTCCCAATACTGATAAGCCACAAATAAAATGCAGTGTAATCCTTCAGTAAGACTTTTGTTGAGTAGAAGGTTAACACGTTTTAGGTTAATGTTTTAACAACCTCCTTTATAAGCATTGTAGTTTGTTAAAGTGGGAATATGATTTTCAACACACTGTATATCTAACTTCATATAATCTTCACAGAAAGAAACAGATCACTGCTCTCTCACTGTAACACAAGGAAAATCCCATTTTAAGGTTCTGCTTCATTCAAGTCAAGTTTAGTTGCCACAATACATGAAGGGAAACATTTAGTTGTCCTTTAATTTTATCTAGGGCAAACATGCAGAGTGAACACTATTAACAAATAAGAACAAATGTCAAAAGGGTGTGTTCTACCAGGTTTTTAACAGTAGTACTTAACAACAGTTTTTTTGTTTTGTTTTTAATCCTTACCCGAGGATATTTTTCCATTTTTTATTTTCAGACAGAGTGGGAGGGGGAGAGAGAGAGAAATATCGACATGAGAGAGACACCAATTGGTTGTCTCCCACAAGACCCCAACCAGGGCCGGGACCAAACTGCAACCGAGGTACGTGCCCTTGACCCAAATCAAGCCGGCAACTCTTTGGTCCACGGGCCAACACTCCAACCGCTGAGCCAAACTGGCCAGGGCTTAACAACAGTTTTTAACAATACACCTCCTCTGTTGGGATGGGGGCATTTTCTCAGAACACTGTACTAAGGGTATTTTGATCTCCTATTAAAATAGAAATGCAATTAGTTTTCCACTTTCAATGAAAATTTGGGGCAGAATATGAGTAACTGCCAAAAAGCCAAAACCTAATTCTAGCTTTAACCTTCTATACCATTAAGATATTTATTAAAGATACTACCCAGCTATCAAAATGACTAAAAATCAAGTCATTAGTTCATCCTGGCTTGATGCTTGTGTTGGTGACCAGAGGTGTTTCACACCTGAGGCACATAAAATAAAATAAATTAAAATAATCATTAAAAAACACCACACAGCCCTGGCCAGTTTGGCTCAGCTGTTAGAGCATCGGCCTGCGGTCCAGAGAGACCCGGGTTTGGTTTCCGCTAAGGGCACGTACCTCGGTTGCAGTTTGTCCCTGGCCCTGGTTGGTCGTACAGGTGGCAGCCACTCGGTATGTCCCTTTCACGTCGATGTTTCTCTCTCTCTCTCTCTCCCTCTCTCTCCCTCCCACTCTATCTGAACAACAACAAAAAAAACATTTTTATAGCTTCTAATAAAACATAAAATTGTCAGAAGACAGGGGGAGAAAAAGGGAAGAGTTTTAGAACTGGAAGTTACCTCATAGATGATCTAATACAATATTTCACAGTTCAGAAAACAGACCTAGCTGTCTCTAAATCAGCTCTACAACTATTGGGGATACAGGTCTGTATAATCTTCCACCAAAATAAGAAAGAAAATGGGTATGGCCTTGTTTCTGAGGAACACTTAAAACAGTCTCCAGGCTAAAGAAAAGTTGTTTTATCAAATTACTTAATACCTCTTGTGCTCCCCTCTCTGCACATTTGTGACAGGCACACAATTAGCCAGCTACCCAAAAGACATTTCTTCCCTCTCTACCTTGCTAACAGAATCCCAGTTTTGCCTGGGCAACAAGCAATATAAGCCCAGGAAATGATACATGATGCATGTTACACCAACCATGATAACCCCAGTCTCCTAACCATACACTTACTTCCCTAGTCTCTCCTGTTCGTGGGAGCAGTCTTGTAAAATAGTTCAAGCAAATGATAGTAAAGAGAAAACTGAATGGACGCTTCTGAGAAAGATTTTGTTCTCTGTTACGCAATCACAAGAGGAAAGACTACTTGATCTATCTGTCCCCTTCCTCCTTCTTGCCTTGAAAAGGGATGTGATACCTAAAGCTGAGGCAGCCATTTTGTGACCTGGTGGCAATAAGTGAACACATAAAGGACAGCAGAATCAAAGAATGGAGAGAACCTGGGGACAATGCTGAGCAGCTGGACCAACCATGAGACCACCTACCTCTAAACTTCTCTTAGCAGCATAAACAAATAGCTCATAGTTTAAGCCTCTGCTGGCAACTTTCTGTTAACTACAGTTGAAAGCAGTCCTGAATTTTTTAAAAAAACATATTCTGTGGCATGCTATGATTGTCCTGCCCAATTTACACACATACATTGTTTATACTGCATGCAACTAAAAACTGACAGGAGCCCTGGCCGGTTTGGCTCAGCGGTGAGAGTGTCGGCCTGCGGTCCAGGGAGACCCGGGTTCGGTTCCCGCTGGGGGCATGTGCCTCGGTTGCAGTTTGTCCCTGGTCTGGTTGGGTTGTGCAGGTGGCAGCCGCTCGATGTGTCCCTTTTGCGTCGATGTTTCTGTTTCTTTCTTTCTCTCTCTCTCCCTCCTTCCCTCCCACTCTGTCTGAACAAAAAATGGAAAAATGTCCTCAGGTGAGGATAAAAACAAAACAAAACAAAAAAAAAACTGACAGGATTATATTTCTCCTGCACAGCTGACAGAGACCAGTTTAAATACTTTATAGTTAAAGTACCTCAACTATATGACCCTGTTAACATAAATGTCATCAGTAGAGAAAACACTAGGGAAAAAACATCATTTAGAATCATGTTTATTTTTGATTACTGACTTTGATCATTCCTTCTGCCATCTCAAATCCTTTTTAGAATTAAGTACCACATTAACTGATAAATGATATCTTTTTGAACTAAAAACTCTCCTGTCTCCTTTAATCATAACTCTCTGTTAGTAAAACATAAAGTGTTAAAATTTCATTCTTGAATTTACAGCCCCTAAACCTGGCCCAGTCAATATTCTCATATATTGATGCTTATAACCAAAGCTGAGAGATTTACCAGCACTCCACCAGACTCATGGCATTGCAGTCTTCTCCCATAGGTTATAACAACAATTTGAATACTGGTAAGACATTAAAAGTCAGACTATCCAATACTGTTATTGAAAGAGTTATTTTAACCATATTTTGATGAAAATCTTTCAAATAATGTTCATCTCCATCACTCCTGTTACACCCATCTCTGTACCTTTCCCAGGACCTGTTCTTCCTTGGTCCAGCGGATGGGAGAGCGCAGGTTACCCATCTTCCTCTCTGCCCTCAATGCTTATCTCCACTCTCAGTTCACAGCCTCATTCTGCCTATTGCTGTTCCCACAACCACTAATATCTACTTCATTTCCCCCTCTTTCATAATTTCTTCTTTCTAACCCCATGTCTTGTAATCCCTCAGCTTCCTCAGAGAAAAAGGTCAACAGCCTCCCTAGCTGGAAGGAACAAACAACTGCCATGGGCATCCGTTCTCGGCTTCAGTATATTGATTTCTCTCCCCTGTTGTCATTCAAGGAAAATAAGGTTAAGTAACCCTGATATAAATGAGTATGAACATTATATTTTGTATGTATATATGTAGGCTCAGTGCTTTATGACCTTCTACCCATTAGGGTCTCTGGGTCACAAGGTTCCACCCACACATTAGCATATTCCCACCTTCCTTGCAAATTAATCAGATAAAATGAAAACATTACTTTATTAATATAGATTTCTATACTAAACTGCTCTAAAAATATATTAAGTCACCGCACTAGTTTATATCATCATTTTCAAAGTGCGATCCAGAGACCCCTGGTGGGAGGTCCCTAAGACTGGTTCAGGAAATTCACAATGTCAAAATTATCTTAGTAATACAACAATGTTATTGCCTTTTTCGCTCAGTCTCTCATGAGCATACAATAGAGAATCCAGAGGATACATGGTGTGTGGTGATAATGTATCACTCTGGCAACTAATAAAACATATGCTTGTACATTCTTGTGTTTTTTAGAAATTTCTAAGGTAGCAAATTTAAGGTATAAATATGTATTTTTAAAAGAAACTAACTCAGTGTGCTGGGTATTTCTATTTCCTAGGCACAGCAATCTTTGATTATATCTGCTATACCATCATTCCTCATTATCATCAAATGAATTCATTAAGTTTAAAGAAAAAGAAACTGAGCCCCGGTTCAGTGTGGCTCAGTCATCCCATGAACGGAAAGGTTGTGAGTTTGATTCCCAGTCAGGGCACATACCTAGGTTGCGGGTTTGATCTCCGAATCGAGGCACATACAGGAAGACAATGATCGATGTTTCTCCCCCTCCCTCTCTGTCTCTCTGTCTGTCTGTCTGTCTGTCTGTCTCTCTCTCTCCCTCCCTCCCTCCTTCCTTCTTTCCCTTCCCCCCTCTCTAAAATCAATAAGCATGCCCTTGGGTGAGGTTTTTTTAAATAAAGAAATTGAATGTTTTAAACACTGACACGATCAGCTCTGTAAGAGCAAAAGATTATTCTCAAATTAGAAATGAAAAAGCCACTAAAGCATCATACAGGGTAAATGATCAGACTTACACTAGTTTCAGCAGTGCACACAATAGCTGAGAAACCAATAACGCTTTTTATGGCTGAAACGAATGTCTGCTGAATGAAAAGAAATCATGGCAATGCTATTATCAACAATGCAGTATCTCATCAAATTAAATTATTTCACTGTTAACATGAACTACAAGTTAGTATCTCGCCTTAAGGACAGTACTTTCACTTTATAAGTGGAAATATCCATAGATGTGGGTGGACTTACTGTTTTGGTTGTATTATTCCAGTATCCAAGCCAACTAACTATCGAAGAAGGTCTTCTTTTATGTGAATGCTTGGCAACAAATACAAGTGCTGCTGAATTACTCAAAGTATGAAATAACTATTGAAGCTCATGATTTATCCTGAAACAACCACATTGATTATCTGCTCTAATGGTATAAAAGCAATGGTGGACAAAATGCAGGCATTTGAGCATGAATCAAGGTAGGGGTACAAAACTGTACCAGTAATAATTATATTCCTGTCTACCAATCATTTTTAAAAGCCAGTTTATCTTAACAATGTTTTTGATAAAATAAAAGTTATTAAATTTCACCCTTGAGAACTTGGTCTTTTTAACATTCTGTGTGATAAAATGGGAGGTACACAAAAATCTCTTCTGCTACATACCTAATATAAAACTGTCTTAAGGAAAAGCATATAAGCACATTGTTTGAGTTGTGAGCTAAACTACACACTTTTTTCATAAAATACCACTTTTGCTTCAGAGAATGACTGGCAGACAACTTATAGTTTATTTAGTCTCAGATATTGGGCAAACATTTTCTCTAAAATGAACAGAGCCTGACACTTCAAGGGAAAACTGACAATATCTGTTGCCAATGACAAAATTTGAGCTTTTGAGGAAAAAAAATAGAATTTTGGAAAACTTGAACTCAACACCAAAATCCTGACTGCTTCCCAATTCTTAAAGACTTTTTGATGTTAATGTGATTTGTAAATTATTGTATGAGCACCCTGGCCGGTTAGGCTCAGCAGTTAGAGCGTCGGCCCATGGACCAGAGACGCCCAGGTTCGGTTCCCGCTAAGGACATGTACCTTGGTTGCAGTTTGTCCCTGGACCCAGTTGGGGTGGCAACCACTCAATGTGTCTCTCTCACATCGATGTTTCTCTCTCTCTCTCTCCCTCGCTCCCTCCCACTCTATCTGAAGATAAGTGCAGGAGGCAGCCAATCAATGTGTCTCTCATCAACGTTTCTATATCTCTTTCCCTCTTCCTTACTCTCCCTTTAAAAATCCATAAGCCCGTCTGGTGTGGCTCAGCAGTTGAGTGTCAACACATGCACCAAGAGGTCGCTGGTTTGATTCCTGGTCAAGGCATATGCCCAGGTTGTGGGCCTGATCCCCAGTGGGGGGCATGTAGGAGGCAGCCAGTTGATGTTCTCTCACATCCATGTTTCTAGCTCTCTCTCCCTCTCTAAAATCAATAAAGAAAAAAACATTTTTTTAAATCAATAAAAACATCTTTTAAAAAAAGATAAACAGAAGACCATTAAAAAAAAGAATCTATCACTTTTTGAGTTTTGATATAATAAAAGAATATTCACGATTACATGAAAAGACATTGAAATACTCTAGCCACCCTTTTTCAACTATGTATCTGTGTACAGTTGGGTTTTCTTTATATACTTCATTCAAACAAACAACATATCACAACAGACTGAATATAAAAGCAGTACTGAAAATCCATCTTGTCTTCTATTAAGCTATACATTAAAGAAAGTGGCTAAATGTAAAATAATGTCTCACTTCTCACTGTATATTGTTTTGAAATATATTTTTCATAAAAGTATGTTATTTATGTTAACCTTTAATGAGCTTATTATTTTCATTATTATTTTTTTTATTCCTCACCTGAGGATATTATTCTATTTATCATTAGAATGGGGGGGGGGGGGAGAGACAGAGACAGAGACAGAGAGAAACATTGATGTGATAGAGCCACATCGACTGGTTGCCTCGATGTCACACAACCTGACCAGGGCCGGGATGAACTGCAACCAAGGTACGTGCCCTTGACCAGAATCAAACCCACAACTCATTGGTCCTCAGGCCGATGCTCTAACCACTGAACCAGCCAGGGAGAGTTTATTATTTTTAAATGAATAAACATTTTAAACATTTCTCAGTATGTTATATGTTGATAGACATAGTCCACATAAACAAAACATCTTTGGGGCCCTCAACAATTTTTAAGAGCACCATAATGTTTGAAAACCACTGGTTAAAGAAGAGCACTTATAAATACATGTATATAAGAGAATGGGTACCTGAAAATGAATCAAAAGAGCTTGGCTCCAGTTCTGGCACTTCTTACTGCTTTGGATAAATCACTTAGTCTCTCTAAGGCCTTAGTTTCCTCATCTGTAAAATGGATCAAAACAAAATATGATAAAGCAATTAATAAACTACAGGTATATTATTATAAGAATTCCAAATTAAGTTTTAAGCACTTCTTCTTATCCTATTTTTACAAAATTCTCCCTTCTTAAAAAATTATTACCAAAAGCATAACTCATAGAAAATACAAAGTAGAGATTTTTGATTAGCCAATTAGCTCAACTGTCCAACCACATAATTTACTATATTAAATGTCTTCTCCTACAATTATAATTGGTAATGTATAGTTTAACTATATAGTTTAACTAATTATGACCAAATATATACAAAGTGCAGAAAATAGTAACAAATTGCAATGTACCCATTACCCAGCTTCAACAATAATAAAAGATTTGTATTATTTTATTTCCCATTTCTGTGTTTGTGCCTACTCTGAAGTTTTTATTTTTCATTTATTTATTTTTTTACAAAAAGTATAAATGGTTTTTATTATCTGTAACATAGGCACAATTATTTAAAGTTAATAAATTTTTATTTAAGGAATTTCACATGTTCTGAGTCCTTCCACACACTGCCTTAGTTTCTCCAGAGTTTGACTCCTTAATCTCCTTTTTGGCTCAATCCAGTTGTCATTTCAGTCAGTCCACAGTTCTTTTAGTTGACCTTCTTTGAGCTACACTTGAATATGGACATACTTCAACAATTCCCCACCTGTATCGTTGGGACCCTATTTCTTCATGCAATTTACTTTACTACCACAGTTAGGGTCAGAGTAGATGGATCAGCCTGGCTTCTCAATTTCACACACCCTCTAAGCATGAGTAAGTTTAAATCATATTCACTCCCAAGCTATCTATCACTCCCTAGAATAGTAGATCGCCAGAATATACAAATACCTAAGACCAAAAAAAAATTAGATTAGGTCTTTCATAGTTTTAGCAGCTCTGTCTTGTAGTTCCTTCCCACAGATCTAACACTTAGTTCTGTGAATAAAGGAAGCAACATATTTCCTCTATGAGGCATTTCCAAAGACGCAGGTCTACAGAAAAAACCCCATCGGGATAGACCTCAATTACTCTGAAGTTTTTAAAAACAAAAATTAGTCATGATTTCATTTTATCTATAAATACTTCCATATGTACCTTTAACATCTGAGAATGTCTTAACATCACTACAATACCATTAATATAGATAAAAACTTTAGTCCGGCTGGTGTGGCTCAGTGGTTGAGCATCAACCCATGCACCAAGAGGTCAGGGCACATGCCCAGGTTGTGTCCTCAGTGGGGGGGCATGCAGGAAATGGCTAATTGATGTTCTCTCTCATCGATGTTTCTGTCTCTCTCTCCCTCTCCCTTTCTCTCTCTCTAAAATCGAAGAAGAGGGGAAAAAAAACTTTATGGTTTTAATTCTTTTTTGTTTTTTTTTAAATCCTTTCACCTGAGGACACATTTTGATTTATCCTCAGATAGAGTGGGAGGGAGGCAGGGAGGAAGAGAGAGACAGAAACATCAAGATGTGAGAGAGACACACTGAGTGGCTGCCACCCACATGACCCCAACCAGGGCTGGGGACAAACTGCAACCAAGGTATGTGTCCTTAGCAGGAACCAAACCCAGAACTATCTGATCAGCAGGCCGACGCTATAACCACTGAGAAAAACTGGCCAGGGCTATGGTTATAATTCTTAAATACCATCTAATATACACTCCATATTCTAATTTCCTGATTTTCTCCCCAAAGAAGTCTTTGTTAGTTTTTAGTTGGTTTGTATCATCAAAATATTATTCTTACTAGTTCATTTTCAAGAAACACAAGATTTTTAGTAAAAGCTAGGAAGAGGAAATAATACCATGCTTAATATGCTATGCACAGTTTACAAAACAAAGTCAAGAACTATCTTCCTAAAGAATGTGCTTCTCCCTCAACCAAACAACAATCAAAAAATAACAAAAGAAATCCACTACAAAATAGGCTAGGCTGGTGACACTTCAGTATTCTGAGAAGTAACAAGAAGAGGACACAGCTCAGCTGCTTAGAAAAAGTTGATAGGAAACCACCACCTTCCATTTCAGAAAAGATCAGGTCAGCTCAGCCACAGGGTCAGGCAAGCTGGAGGTCAGGGTCCAGGTTCCAGAGCGAACATACGGCTTCAACAAGGCAACCAACCCCCTTCAAGTTTCAACTCAAAGCTCAAAAACCAGTACTTTCAGCTAGAGATGTAATGGGCTCACAATCAAAAGTAACAGTTGTGAGAATTAATTCAATTTATTCAGCAAACATTTATGAAAAGCCAACTCTACCAGGTTATATTAGAATGAGTTTGTTTTATTTTGTTTTTTAATCCTCACCCAAGGAAATGTTTATTGATTTTAGAGAAAGAGGAAGGAAGAGAGAGAGAAACATCAATCAGTTGCCTCCTATATGTGCCCAGGAACCAACCTGAAACCTTTTGGTCTACAGGATGGTACTCCAACCAATTGAGCCACCAGGCCAGGGCTAGTTTTATTTAAATTTATACAATGCAAACAATAAGTAGCATATACTTCTCTACATATGTCTCTCCACATTAATTTTAAGGGGATGAATAAATATATTTAATATTAATTACCTTGCCATATACCATTACAATTTATGGTGCATCTTTTTTCTGAAAATCAGTTTGCCCTACTTCTCACCACGACACTGAAACTAATCTGAGTTCTACTGTCCTTCACAAATATTTTTGAAGAGTACATGTCATGCCTGGGTGTTGTGACTCAGTGGTTGAGCGCCGATTCATGCACAAGAGGTCGCTGGTTCGATTCCCAGTCAGAGTACATCATGCCCAGGTTGTGGGCCCAGTCCCCAGTGCGGGGCGTGCAGGAGGCAGCCATTCGATGTTCTCTCTCATCGTGTATCTATCTCACGCTCTCTATTCCTTCCTCTCTCTCTAAAATCAATAAAGAAAAAAAATTTTTTTAAGTAAAAGAAGAAAATCAAGGAAATGGTGAAGAATTTCCTATCTCCTCTGAAAATTTTCTTTTCCACAAGCTTACTCAAGTGCATCAGAATGTTCTGTAGATGAAAACTGGTTAGGTGCATTACAGTAAAAGTTTTGAAACATTTGGTTCTGTAGATATACACACTTAATATAAAAGAATTTCTTTTTGGAATTCTTTACCTCAATTTTACCTATAATTTTTTTATGTTTAAAATTTCAGAAAGAATGGAGGAGAGGGAACATATTTCTTGAATAATGCTTGAGAAGTACTTCATAAATGTGTCCAAAAACAAGGAATAGTCATCAAGAAATTTTTAGTTGATACTAAAAAGGACATCTTCTCAACAACAAAACCTGACAGTCAGACACCTGCAGTAAGAATCCAGAATTCCCCATTTCAGAACTGACACTCTGCTTCAGGTTTCTACTATTTGCAGAAAGAGAGTAAAAATTCCAAGTTTAAGATAGCATTTCCAGAGACCACTAACTCCCCTACAAATCTTCAAGGAGACATAATTAAGCACACGAAATACAACACAGTCCAAATTTACTTTTTGATTCCCATATCATGTGGACAAGACCCAGGGAGGGGTCATCCTTTAACCTATTTTACCTATCTGGTAATAAAGCTCAATAGCTTACTTATACTGTGGTACATCTTTTGTTTCCTATGCTGTCATACAAGGTACCATCAACACAAACTGTCCCTGGAATTTAGCTTCACTTTATAACACTATTGTGACATTGTTCCTAATGAAGAATCTCACATAAGTATACAGCCTAATATATCACAATCCTAAGTAAATTATAAACAATGATATTTACCTTACTGTAAAAACATGAGATTTTTAGCAAATGGCAGCAAAAAAAAAAAAAAAAGATAAATTGTAATGAGTTAAAAACTCAAAAGCGCCCTGGCCGGTTTGGCTCAGCGGTTAGAGCGTCGGCCTGCAGTCTGGAGAGACCCGGGTTCGGTTCCCGCTAAGGGCATGTACTTCGGTTGCAGTTTGTCCCCGGCCCTGGTTGGTCGTGCGGGTGGCAGCCACTCGATGTGTCCCTTCACATCGATGTTTCTGTCTCTCTCTCCCTTCCTCTCTCTCCCTCCCACTCTATCTGAACAAAAAATGGAAAAATATCCTCAGGTGAGGATAAAAAAAAAAAAAAAAAACTCAAAAGCTTCCATGCTTCAATCTTTAAAAAAAACAAAACAAAACATTATGTAGGTTTCTTTTTTAAAAAATTGGCCAAAGATGAATTTAATGTGTAGACTTCTATTCAAATTGGTTTGGACTGCAATAAATATTAAGTTATATCATTAACATTATTTATCAGGATACTATGGGCAAATAGTTATTCACAGAATAAGTGGGACTGCACCTAGCCCTCTATAATTTCCTAACCCTGGTCATTATCTTCACAAAACATCAAGACTTGACATCAGGTTTTCCATGTAATGTTTGCTTCTTTACTGTCTTCATCTTCTCCCACTAGAATGTAAATTCCATAGGGCCAAAAAATTGTTATTTTCTACTCTATGCCCAGTTCCTAAAACAGGTCTGGCACATAACAGAATCCAAATAAATGTGCTGAAAAAAGAGATGGATGAATGGCCTCCTTCTTTGACATCCCCACTTCCTTTCCTTCATACACGTTAAGGATCCTTTAAAACTAGAGTCAAATTCTATTATCTCTCTGAAGATTACCTCCCCTAATCCTCCAATGCCCTTTTTTATACCATGAATTTGGCACTTCCTTTCTGCCTGATAACTGGTTTATCTTTGCATATGTACATACTCCCATAAAATTCTTATAATCGCTCCTTATTAAAGGCATGTCCCCAACTTTTGGCATCCACCTCAGTATATGTAAATTGTATACCATTACTAAGTGTTTTGTCTGATTGACTTTTATCTGTAGTTAATTTAGAAATAAATTCTTAGCTTCAACTTTTTACAATCTATCCCTCCCTTTCCAATAGTTCGATTGATATTGCAGTGGGTTCCCCTCTATTTTAAATTTGTCTTTGGCAGTTTCAAATTTTACATGCTCATATAATTATAACTTACACTCATAATGTATTTTATCCATCCTTCCTCCCCCAAGATTAAAATGTTTATGTAATACATCTTGTGACTTTCTGGTGATACCTATCTAACCCCAGTTAAGAAAGAGGTGAAGTTTCATTATCTTCTTCATGTTGCTGAGGTACAGGAGGGTATTTTCTCCCTTTATGCCTTTTTCCTTGCATGCCAAGATGTATTCCATGTCCTTCTTTACTGACCATATCCCTGGAAAGTTTTTATATTTCTTTGTACCTGTCTTTGGTAATCTGCCTTAGATATTTCTTACTGAGCTACTCTTGCTTCCCCCAATCATTTATTTGATTAAATTTCAAAGTCTCTCTTAGTCTGTGCATGAGAATGGCCTCTTATTAAAGCCGGAGCCTGCTTCTTTAACTCCAGCAACCTTTCATGAACCTCATCCCTTCACATGGCCAACCCTTGATCACCCAGGCTAATGAAATGTACAAAAATATCAGATTACATACAACACAAGAAAATCAAGAAAAAAATGACATCTGGCTTTGGAATATATCATATGTGGCTTTGGGCAAGATTTAATTTCTTAATTATGTTTTTACTTAAGCCAACATTAGTAACATTTTCTTTTATGATGGTGAATATCTGTTTTGGTTTTAAATTCTGATGTAATTTTTTTTTAAGTGCATCAACTGTGATTTTTCCTATGAAGCCCTTTTAACTAGTTTTTTTTTTTTTTTTTCAGTCTGTTAAAATTTGTTATAAAATCTGGTTTCTGTTTCCTTGATTTATTTTCTCCCTTTCCTTGGGGTTCTGATCCAAGTCAGCTTTCCTATATTAATTTACTTCTTCAATTTAAAGTACTATTTGCTTGAGAATGCAAGGCATTTTAAAAACATTAAATGTCCAGAGAAATATTTAGTCTAAATAACACAGGCTAGAAAACACCACTTTTTAAAAAGATATTCAAGGAAAAGTTGGGTTTCTAGGAGAAATTACATTGTGGTAATTCCAGCAAATTATATTTAGTAGGATATTACGATTGGTTGAAA